AGCTGTTTCTCCTAGAGGAGTAGTTGTTTTCAAACTTCTTACAGTGTTTCAGTCTATCTTTTTCTCCTAGAGGAGTAGTTGTTTTCAAACTTCTTACAGTGTTTCAGTCTATCTTTTTCTCCTAGAGGAGTAGTTGTTTTCAAACTTCTTACAGTGTTTCAGTCTATCTTTTTCTCCTAGAGGAGTAGTTGTTTTCAAACTTCTTACAGTGTTTCAGTCTATCTGTTTCTCCTAGAGGACTAGTTGTTTTCAAACTTCTTACAGTGTTTCAATTCAGCTGTTTCTCCTAAAGAGTAGTTGTCCTGAAACTTTTTACAGTGTTTTCAGAATTTGTTCTTAAGTCAGAAGTTGTCTTCAAACTTTCTGCCTTGTTTCAGCTATGTCGTTAGCTTAAGCTGTTGTCGGATAAAAGATGAAAGAGATACATTGGTTGTATAAGTAGGATGTAGTTTAAGATTTGTTTGCTGAAACAAAAAGAGCTTTAACCAGGGAAGAGTGGAAGATTGGCTTGTTTGTTTGTTTGTAATGAAGCACAAAGGTAGAGAAAGGGTTATCTGTGCTCTGCCTACCACGGGTATCGATACCCGGTTTCTTAGCGTTATGTGTCCATAGACATACCGCTGTACCTCTAGAATGAGGGAGGGCGTGTAAAATATACCTTCGATTTTATATAAGACAGCTTCAATTTCAAGTCTCTATTATTTTTCAAATAAAATTTAAACGTTTCCTTTTACAGGTATTATAAAAATGTTGAAGTTAATTGTTTAGAAAAAAAACTTACTTTTTTTGTAGAAAAATAATTATATCTTTAAAGATATCATCAAGTATTTTGGCCACGGAGCTGAAAATTTCTAGAAATCTTAGATTATGGGCTTACTTTCGAAAATTTCCAATCAGATTTAATGAAACGTAAATTTGCATGCATCTATCCTGTACACGTGACCTACACAAACGTGGTTTTTACATTTTATAAATAACTGCCTATGAAACTCGATAAAATTATATCTAATTTTGTCATTTAATCTGGAACATACTAATAAATTTCTGTATGAAATAATTCATTACCTAATTAACCTCTTTCTATGAAAGATGTCCAATGTTTTCTAAAAAATGCTGAACTTGCTGACAGGTGTAGATCACAAAATTTTGATATCGGGTTTTGAATTGAACAATTTAATCATTCTGCAGTAATTACAGTGCACGTTATTTGATAACGAATGTTATGATAATTTAAGTTTCAGAAAGGACCAAATATGACCAAACATTTACATAATAAAGAATCGAAAAATTAAAAGATATTTTGCTGGATTTGGTTATTTCTTTTAAGTTTTGACGATGGTGTTTTTGTTGTGTTGTTAAGCACAAAGCCACATAACGGGCTATCCGTTCTCTGCCCACCACTGGTATCGAAATCCAAGTTATAGCTTTGTAAGCACGTATACTTACCACCGAGCCACTAGGGGGCTAAGTTTTGATAACATTTCATTCTCCAAGAATATTTGGCGAACCATTCGAATTTCATCTGAATTTATCACAGGTTACTTATAAAGACGTCAGTAGAATAATGTATTGTTCGTTTTTAAAGATTGTTTGTTTTTATAACAAAGCTACATTGGGCTATCTACTGTGTCTACCACGTAAAACTAAACCCCCCTATTCTAGTGTTTTAAGTCCGTAAACTTATTAAATTTTAAAGATCGTAATCAATATTGATATTCTTACAAAGCAGTGTTTTTCTAAACAACCGTTAACAAGTAGTGTAATTAAATTATTTTGAAATTTTAAAAGATGCAATTATCGAAGTAAAGTTTTCCTTTAGAGTTGACCCTCAAACATGTTACTTACAGAGCCCGTTGAACTTTAACTCTTAAGCACTAGTAGAGCGAAGTGGAAAAACAACAACAAATAAACAAACTTTATTGCAATTATTTTCCCGCAGATATAGGGTATATCATGCCTTATTGTATATATAATTTAAATAATTTATATGCTTTGAATTATTCGTACAGGTACCACATTTGACTTAGTTATTTGACTCAAGTGGATTCGGGTTGAAAATTAACTGGACATACCCGGTAAAAAGAAAACTGGTGCAACTTGTCTAAAAAGTTAAAAGTGCAATAAGATTTCGAGAATGTTTGTTGAAGTTTTTACATTTTTTATATGGTAATTTATATTTTAAACTAATAAAATAATTTCATCATTCACATGAATAAAATGCAAATGTTTATTGAACAATTTGGTTTATTCTTCTACAACAGAATATGAAGTTTAAGACATAGGGATACAACTACTAGGCCTAGGGACGTTATCAATATAGTCTACTTTCTTATTTCTGAGCAATGCTACAACTCCGACATCCGCTTGTCTTACCAACTCATAAGTATAATCGTCATCTTCAGGAAGACAATGAAAACCCCGAATTTCGTGTGAGGCTGTTTTACTGGTCAGACAATTTTTCTTACACACGAGAACAGGTTCAGTTGCGAAACAACGGCTATAGCCACGTTTATAATGGACAGTCTTATTCCAATAACACGAATTGGCTGTTAACGTGGGCCAAACGACTGGAACTTCTGGAGACACGTAAGGACTTGGAGATGGACAGATGACCAGCTTTCTGGGTGGTGGTAACGGCACGCTGTACTCATCAATCATTGCATAACTATTGACAAAATCCTGACTGTCTTGATAAAGACACATCTTTGGACCCAAGAATTCTTCGTAGCTTTCTCCATTGTAATCTCCACAAAGACCACAGTGACTTCCGCTATAGTAAGATGACACCTGGTGGATGAAGTTTAGAAAACAAAAACCCTTCGTTTTAATAATGCATGACACTTTTCTAGTTCGTATTCATGTTACAACTGTTACTCTAAATGAACCTTTTTACAGAGAAGCTATATCTGACAGCTACCGAAACATGGGAACATGCCAATCTTAAGGTCAAGGAAATGGCGTAAATAAGTTTATATTTTTCTGTAAGAAACTTTGCTAAAAATCAGAGTAATCTATTCCACATGTATCTTCACATATTTGCTAAAGCGAAATGGGAAGTAAAAATACCACCAAGACTTTAACCATAAAAACGTTTTTGAGATACTATTCTTACCGTAATTTTAACATTTTTTCCGTCGTATTTCACAACTAAACCTTCATGAACAGCTGTGAGGACTACAACGGGCAACTCAGACGATGAGGCAGTGGGGTGTAGATAGAGGTGCACTGGAGACAGGGCACTGTCCAATTTTACTGCCAGCCCTAGCACTAACTGTCGCAATTCTCCATTGACTGTAAACTTTATGATCTCTCTACTGTCTGGAGGGCTCATAATGATGTTCCATTCTCGTACAATTACTTGGAGAATCTGGTGAATGAACACAAAGTTATATATATATATTAGTATCACTTAGAATGTATACGCATACAAAATATGTTGATAATCTAAATAAATAATTGACGTTAAGAATTAAGTCCAACTAATATCGCATACAGAAAATGTTTATATGAAGTAAGAACAAGGAATAGTCTATACACAAAAATAAAAGGTTAGGTAAAGCAATATGCTATATAGAAAGAAGTTTATAGAAAGTAAGAACAAGCAACAGCCTTGTAACGAATTTATTATTATGTATTTAATTTGAATATGAACGTCGTTTGGATTGAATTTGTATTTAGAAATATGCGTGACTTGTAGTATCAGATACGTGTTGCGTAAAACGAATTTGTTATATATTTATTTTAATTTCAACGTTTGCTTCGAATAAGTTTATATTTGAGGGCGTGTCTAGCTTACTGTGTTAGTTACATATGGCGAAATTCCCGCCAATTCTCCAAGGTTGCAGAACATTTGTGAACACAAGAATGAACAATATATCCAATTCCGTAACCAGTTAAATATAGCGCCTATAAAAAGAGAACATAGAAGAGACAAGTCTACTATGAAACTGTTATAACCATGTAAGCTATAAACCGTGATTTTGCTAACCCTTATCAAGCACAAGATAAAGACATTTGACCAGAAACAGTTATAAATTTTGAACGTCAATGAATTCTCATCAAACGTTAATATATTTCCAAGAATATTACTAATTCTCATCGGACATTAG